ACATTGTCCTCAATGGAAAAGTAAAACAAGATAGTGTAGAGGGCTTCCCTGAGTAGTTGTCAGTCAGTGTTTTCGTTGGAAGCAGGAGGAGGTGCAGAAGGTGTAGGTGTAGGATGGTGGCGTCTGGCTAGAGTGTATGGCGGCAAAGTCAGAGGTTGAGGAAATACAATTCCATCAGGTCCAGAATTAAGTGCACAATTGGAATACATTGCCCCCAAACTTGTAGTGAACTGTGCCAGGTAGTCAAACTGCATATCCTGTCTTGCAATAATTTGATCTTGATTATATTGAATTTGTTCAAAATGCTAATCAAATGTCTCCCGCCACTGTTGTTATTTGTTCGCCATGAGTTGCAATTGGGCCATACAATGCCTCAGCTCATTGAGTTCTATTGAGCAATTATTGGGTTGTCCAGAAGAATTACGACCAGGTAGTGGTGCAGTTGGAGCTATAGTGGGCCTTTGATCATTAGACTTATAGCTCTCCATTTTCTTCTGAGTAATGACTGACTTCGGGTGCTGAATTTCTTCATCTGCGGTCGTTGGAATTCCTACTTGTTGACACAAATCATAAATCAATGATGGATGTCCAAGTCCCCTTGTCGTCTTTCCTTGGAGCGTATCAAGAATGGATTTCTCAATGATCTTCCCAACATCTATGCTAAAGTCCATGAAAATAGCATAATTCAAAATAGCACGCTCCTTTGTCACTTCAGAAGTATTATTGCTCGGAAGCAATTTGGCAGATATAAAATAATGTCATGCCTTTGTCTCATGGGCTAACCCAGATGAAGAGAAGTTAATAACATCTGTGGTAGATTTCTTCCAACATACACGAGAGCTTGTCAAGTACCGAATAATCTCATCTGTGTCGGGTTCCTGTCGATATTGAGTGTACTCATCATTCTCTATATTAGGCAGTTTATAATACCTGTTGATGGTCTTACTGTCGAAGGATACCCATTTACCGCGAACATACACTTTCTTGTTTTTATGTTCCTTGGCATTGGCATAAAATTCTCGAACCACTGGAACTAGCGTGGCCTTTGGTTGCTTTACAAACTCTTGCCAACTGCGGCCCTCGATGTGCTCATTCATAAGTGTACCGGGGCAGTTAATCCTTCTCTTTTTCTTTGGACGGAAGACCGCTATGGCATCATGACCCCCACAGCAGAAGCTTGTCCCAACTCTTGCAAATTTCAAAGACAGTGGGAATGGATTTAAGTGAGAACAACTAGAGGTGGATTGAGAATGTTTTCAAGAAATTTCAGAGTGAAAGTTCATCTTTAGGGTCGGTTGTGAGTATTTTGGCCTGACTTTTAGATATGCTGTGAGTGTGGGTAGTTATTTTGGGGGTATTTGTTTCGGCCACCCTGAACTGGCGCCGCGGCGCTATGTTTTCAGCTCTGTGGCGTTGCCTTTTCTGCTACTCTCTGTTGTTGTCTTTTTTTTTTTTGCGCCAAGGCGCTGCAAGGTAGCGCCAAAGCGCTACGTGCTCTGCCATTTTTTTCCCAAAACGCTCTCTTTTGAGCGCCAAAGCGCTCAGATGAGCGCCAAAACGCTACTGCTGCTGCCAAATCCATGCTTTCATGCCTGCTTGAGCTTCGTTTCAATTGCAAATCCTTAGAGCAACCCCCCAAACTTGTTTATTAACCTATCAATCAATTTAAAACACAATAAGTAAACTAAAAATAAAATATAAATAAATAATAAAGGAGAATAATAAATAAATAATAATAATAAATAAAAGATTTAGAAGGCTCGGGTTACCTCCCGAGAAGCGCTTGGTTTAATGTCATCAGCCCGACGTCTTGCTTCTTATGGTGAGTTCAGGAGAATGTTGGTATTCTTTTTATTAAAGCCCCCATTAATATATGGCTTCAAACGTTGTCTGTTGACCTTGAACGTTTCCTTTGCATCATGAGTTACTTCAACTGCTCCATAGGGAAATAATCTCGCCACAGTAAATGGCCCTGACAATCTGGAGTTGAGCTTTCCTGGAAATAAGCATAGCCTTGAATTATAGAGCAACACTTGTTGGCCCGGCTTAAACTCTTTTCTTGAGATGTGCTTGTCATGCCAAGCCTTAGTTCGCTCTTTGTAAATCTTGGCATTCTCATATGCATCATTGCATAACTCCTCCATCTCATTAATCTGTAAAAATTTCTTTTCACCTGCCGCTTGCATGTCCAAATTTAACTGCATCATGGCCCAATATGCTTTATGCTCCAATTCAACTGGAAGATGACATGTTTTTCCATAAACCAACCTATAGGGAGACATCCCTATTGGTCTTTTGAATGTCGTCTGATAAGCCCAAAGTGCATCATCAAGCTTCCTTGCCTAATCCTTCTGGGAGCTCTGAACAGTCTTCTCTAGAATTAGCTTTACCTCTTTATTTGATATCTCAACTTGGCCATTCGTTTGAGGATGATATGAAGCACGGTTCAATGTTTGACTCCATATTTCACCAGTAAAGCTTCAAATAGTTTGTTGCAAAAGTGAGATCCCTCATCGCTAATTACAGCCCTTGGAGTCCCAAATCGAGTGAAAATATTTTTTCGGAGAAATTTTAGACCACCTTGCCATCATTTGTTGGAGTTGCCAATGTCTCCACCCATTTGGAAACATAATCCACTGCTAAAAGGATATACTTGTTATTGTAAGATGAAGGAAACGGACCCATGAAATCAATTCCCCATACGTCGAATAGCTCCACTTCTAATATAGTTTGCAGTGGCATTTTATTCTGCCTAGAAATATTCCCCATTCTTTGGCATCTATCGCACGCAGTCACGAAAGCATACACATCCTTGAATAAGCTTGGCCAATAGAATCCCGATTAGAGAACTTTAGCGGCAGTTTGATTTCCCCCAAAATGACCTCCACACTCAAGTGTATGGCAATGCCTTAGGATTTTTTCCATCTCTTCTTCCGGGACACATCTCTGAATAATTTGGTCTGCACAATGCTTGTAAAGCACTGGTTCCTCCCAATAATAATGCTTGACATTGGAGAAAAACTTCTTCTTTTGTTGATAAGAAAATTCCGGAGGTACAATTTTAGCCGCAAGGTAGTTCACGATATCGGCACACCAAGGAAGCGACTTTGTAGAAGAAATGGTGAATAGCTGCTCGTCAAGAAAATTATCACCAATTTAAGGCTTTTGCAATTCTTTTTCCTTCAATAATTCAAGTCTAGAAAGGTGATCCGCCACAAGATTTTTTGTGCCTTTTTATCTCTTATCTCTAAATCAAATTCTTGTAATAACAACACCCAACGCATGAGTCTCGGTTTAGCATCCTTCTTGGCCATAAGGTATTTAATTGCAAAGTGATCTATGAAAATAATTACCTTATTGCCAATTAAATAAGGCCTAAACTTGTCGAAGGCAAACACAATTGCCAATAACTCATTTTTTGTGGTTGCATAATTGAGTTGGGTATCATTGAGAGTACAACTGGCATAGTAAATAGCATGAAACACATTATTCTTGTGTTGCCCAAGAATAGCCCCTACCGCATAATCACTCGCATCGCACATCAATTCAAATGGCAACTCCCAATCTGGAGTTACAACAATAGGTGCTGACACAAGTTTCTCTTTGAGAGCAGAGAATGCCTGTTGACACTCTTCACTGAAAAGAAAAGAAGTACCTTGCACAATGAGACTTGAGAGTGGCTTGGAGATCTTAGAAAAATCCTTGATAAATCTTCTATAGAAGCCCGCGTGACCAAGAAAACTCCTTACCCCTTTGACTGATATTGGTGGTGGTAGCTTTTCTATTGTCTCGATCTTAGCTCGATCAACCTCAATGCCTTTGGAAGAAATCCGGTGGCCTAAAGCTATGCCTTCACGCACCATAAAATGACATTTCTCCCGATTTAGCATTACATTGGTTTCTTCACATCAGATTAGCACCTGCTTAAGATTGTCAAGGCAATCATCAAATGAATTTCCAACAACAGAAAAATCATCCATAAATACCTCAATTATCCGCTCCACCATGTCTAAAAAAATAGCCATCATACACCTTTGAAAAGTGCCTGGAGCGTTGCATAATCCAAATGGCATTCTTCAATAAGCAAAAGTGCCATAGGGACATGTAAATGTGGTCTTCTCTTGGTCCTCTGGTGCTATGGCTATTTGATTGTATCCGGAATAGCCATCTAGAAAACAATAGTACTCATGGCCCGCTAACCGATAGCATCTGATCAATAAAAGGTAAAGGAAAATGATCTTTTCGCGTGGCTTTATTTAACTTCCTGTAATCAGTGCAGATTCTCCATCCGGTAACGGTTCTTGTAGGGATAAACTCATTATTTTCATTCTTTACTACAGTCATTCCTCCTCTTTTGGGCACTAATTGCACTGGACTTACCTATGAGCTATCTGAGATTGGGTAAATCACTCCTGCATCTAACCATTTTAAAACTTCTTTTCTCACCACCTCTTTCATGGTTGGATTAAGTCTTTGTTGTGCTTCAACTGATGGTTTGATGTTGTTTTCCAACAGAATGCGATGCATACACATAGATGGGTGAATTCCCTTAATATCTGTCAACGACCACCCAATTGCAGACTTGTAGTCCTTCAGCACTCTTAATAACTTTTCTTCTTCAAGAGAGAGAGTAGCGAGGAGATGATTACCGGTAAAGTTGATGATTCACCAAGATATGCATAACGGAGATGTGTCGGTAATGGTTTTAGTTCGAGACTCGGTAGCTTTTCAATTGATGGAACGGGACGTGAAGAGCTTTGTCCCAGGGCTTCAAAGTATTTTCTTCTATTTGGCTCAAAGGAATCCATCCACAGTAAATACTCTATCACCTCCTTATCTTCCATGATTGAAGAATCATTTTGGAATAAGCTAGCCTCCAAGGGATCTGATTGACCCACATGGTTAGACACTATAGCTTCCACTTCATCGATCCAAAAGTAACTATCACTTGCTTCTGGGTATTTTATAGCATTGAAGACATTAAAAATTACCTCATCTTCTTATACCTGAAGGCGTAGTTCACCCTTTTGAACGTTAATAAGCGATCTCCCTGTCGCTAGGAATGGTCTTCCAAGTATGATAGGTATTTCTTTATCTTCCTCCATGTCAAGAACTATGAAATCTGCAGGGAAGATAAACTTGTCAACTTTGACGAGCACATCCTCAATTACTCCTCTAGGGTGCTTGATAGAGCGATCCGCCAATTGTAGTGTCACTATGGTAGGTCTTGCTTCACCTAAACCCAGCTTTTGGAAGATAGATAAAGGCATTAAGTTAATGCTTGCACCTAAGTCACATAATTCCTTCTCGAACACAGCATTCCCAACTGAACATGGGATGGTGAAACTCCCTGGATCTTTAAGTTTCTAGGGCAACTTCCTTTGTAAGATGGCACTACACTCTTCAGTAAGTGTAACTTTTTCATAGTCCTCAAGTTTCTTCTTGTTTGACAAGATGTCTTTCATAAACTTCACATAGCTCGGCATTTGTTCTAGAGCTTCAGCAAATGGGATATTGACGTGGAGTTTCTTGAATACATTGAGGAATTTAGCAAACTGTTGATGTAGTTTGCTTTTCTTCAGGCGTTGAGGAAAGGGAACTCTGAGAGATGGTTCTTGATGAGGTTGTGCTTGATTTTCTGCCTTATCTTCAATATTCCTTTTTGTAGACTCTTATGTTTGAGACGACACCCTTTGCTCATCTTTGTCAGGCTTTTCAATTCTCACAGGAGCTTCTAATTCTTTCCCACTTCTCAAGGTAACTGCTTTGCAATACTCATTTCCATCTCTTTTTGGATTCACTTCAGAAGTGCTAGGCAAATTTCCCTGTTCTTTTGGAACATAGATAAAGGCATTAAGTTAATGCTTGCACCTAAGTCACATAATTCCTTCTTGAACACAGCATTCCCAACTGAACATGGGATGGTGAAACTCCCTGGATCTTTAAGTTTCTAGGGCAACTTCCTTTGTAAGATGGCACTACACTCTTCAGTAAGTGTAACTTTTTCATAGTCCTCAAGTTTCTTCTTGTTTGACAAGATGTCTTTCATAAACTTCACATAGCTCGGCATTTGTTCTAGAGCTTCAGCAAATGGGATATTGACGTGGAGTTTCTTGAATACATTGAGGAATTTAGCAAACTGTTGATGTAGTTTGCTTTTCTTCAGGTGTTGAGGAAAGGGAACTCTGAGAGATGGTTCTTGATGAGGTTGTGCTTGATTTTCTGCCTTATCTTCAATATCCCTTTTTGTAGACTCTTATGTTTGAGACGACACCCTTTGCTCATCTTTGTCAGGCTTTTCAATTCTCACAGGAGCTTCTAATTCTTTACCACTTCTCAAGGTAACTGCTTTGCAATACTCTTTTCCATCTCTTTTTGGATTCACTTCAGAAGTGCTAGGCAAATTTCCCTGTTGCCTCTCAGAAAACATATTAGCCATTTGACTGATTTGCACATCTAAGCTTATGATCTGAGCCGATTGATTCTGGAAATTTGTCCTGGTTTCATTCATAAATTACGTGTGAGAGGTAGCCAATTGAGCCATTGCATCTTCCAGATTCACCTTCTTCTCTTGTGGCGGGTTGCTCTATTCGGGCTGCAGTACATTTTGAGTATTTCTCCAAGACAAGTTTGGATGATTACGTAATCCGGGATGGTATCTGTTTGGATAAGGATTATTCTGCTGCATGTTATAATTCCCCACATATTGAGCTTGCTCTATTGGTACCTGTGCAAAAGGATTGTCAACTTGACATTCATAACTTTGGTGAGGTCCGTTGCAAAATTCACACACTGGAGAGGATATTTGGATGGCATTGGCTGTCAATTGAGTTTTCTGCAATTGTTTGGAAAGGGAGGCAATTTGGGCAGTCAGATTAGTGATAGCATCAATCTCATGTAGTCCGGCTATCTTCTTTGGTATGCTTCTTTCACTAGGCCACTGGTAATTATTAGTTGCCATATCTTCTAGCAACTCATATGCTTCATCTTCAGTTTTCTTCATTAAAGCTCCTCCTGCAGATGCATCAATCAAAGTTCTTGTAGTGCCGCTCAACCCATTATAGAAATTATGGACTTGCATCCATTTAGGTAGACCATGATGAGGACATCTTCTCAGTAACTCCTTGTATCTCTCTCATGCTTCGTATAGAGTTTCACCTTCATATTGAGCAAAATTATTGATCTCGATGCGCATCTTCACAGTTTTAGCCGGTGGAAAAAACTTAGAAAGGAACTTCTAAATTAAATATTCCCAACTAGTGATCAAATTTGGCGGTAGTGAGTTCAACCAACTTTTTGCTTTATCTCTCAAAGAGAAAGGAAACAAACGAAGGCGAAGAGCTTCATCATTAACTTTGTTGTATTTGACAGTATCGCAAATCTCCATAAAATTTGTGATGTGAGCATTAGGATCTTCATTCGGCAATCCATTAAATTGAATCGCTTAAATCATCTGCAGCATCATCGGCTTCAATTGAAAATTATTCACCTGAATAGCAGGCCTCCTGATCACTGATTGAACACCAGTTGGTGGCAATGCATAATCTCACAAAGCCATTGGCTGATTGACCACCTGCGGATTATTCAGTGGTATGTTGTTGTTGTTCTCATTTATTGCCCCTTCAGGATCAGCCATAATTTCTTGTGACTGAATGACAGTTTCTCTCTTCTCCTTTCTATTTCTTCGACAAGTACGCTCAATTTCTGAATCAAGAGGAAGTAGAATACTGCTCCCAAACTTTCGCATGCACGTAGAGTAACATCCTGTAGAACACAAAACAAGAACAATAAAATAAATAACAAATAAAATTCAAAGTAAAATTAGAGTTATTTGGTATCGATATTAGCAAAAACAAAACAATCCCCGGCAACGGCGACAAAAACTTGTTGTGAAAAATCGTAACGCAAGTATACGCTATCGTAATCAAGTAATATAATAGTGAATAAGAGTATCGTCCCACGAGGATTGTTGTTTACTAATTACCGAAATTATATTAACTCCAATTTTATTTGAATAATTGAAAAGAGATTTGATAAAATTGAATAAAGTAAAATTAAAATAATTAAATAAATAAAACAATGCTAATTAGTGGAATAAAATTCAACAGATTAAGACTCTAGAGTTTTCGATTTCACCAAAATTAATCCTGTTCAAATTCCCATAAATAAAAAAAATTAATATTCAATCCTATACTGACAGTAATTTCTCTAAAGCAATTATTATTCTTTCTCAAGTAACAATAATTTTAATCTAACAAGCAAACTCTACATCTCTATCAGACTTCTAAACCTGTTGAAAATCATTAAGTGCAAGAAATTCAAAAGAACTGCACAAGCATCATAGATATCTCTATCCTGTGATCAACTAATGGTATTTCAATTAAGAGCTTATTTAATTATCACCTCAAAAACTAACTGGATATTAACTGTAAAACGATACTAAATGAGTGAGTAAAACTCACTCATCACCCTCATAGGTAACAGATTTAGAATTTAAAGCGTAACGGTGCAAGTTTTCTATTAATAAGAAGCTAGGCAATATTTATATAGTTACATTAGGAGTTTGAATTTGAATCTAATACTAATATACTATCAAATAATTTAAACTTAATACTTATCTCCTAATAACTAATAATTTAAAATTTTTCAAGCTTTAAACTAAAAAATAATCACTAATCTAATCTCTAAATTCCAAAGATAAATTAAATACAAACTAATTTAAATTTAAATAAATTAATCATCCTTATCAATACGTAATTCCCGTATACAAGTCCTCCATCAAATGGCTAACCCACGTGTTCAATCCCCATAAACAACCTTAAAGTTATGAGACTATTTCAGAATTTAAATGAGCTGGAACAGGCTATTTGAGAATTTATCTCCCACTAATTTTATTCGTTCTGGATCAATTTGTTACAGTATGCGATTTTTTTTTTCTCTAAACAAGTTTTCAAGACGTATCCAAATATTACATTTAAGATTTTACTTTATGTA